CGGCATGTATTGCTCTATTCATCGGTACACCTAAAGCACGGCGGAGGCTCACCACGGGTATTTCGCTAGCGCAAGAACGGCTGACTCACTCGCCTCAACGATACGACTCAAGAGTTTCCTAATCCAGAAAGAGGACGAAAGCAGATGTGCGAGACTGACCGAAGCACCACAAACATCGAGGCCCTCAACAATGATCGAAAAAATTTCATCTTGTGCCCTCCGCTTCAACTCGAAGCTCCTGGTCGATTTCCGGTCCTTTCTTTTATCCAAGATCAATTCTCCCTCTCAAAACCACCCGTTTGATTCCTTCGAAATCTCGGTGATCGACGGAGTGGTGGACGTGGGAATTGTATTCGGACTGACATCAAATGCCGAGCTAATAGCCTCACTACTCTAGACAGCCAGGAAAGCCCAAGTTGTCTTTTCAACTCACCCCTGGTAAGCTGCCAGTGAGTGTCTCAGAGGATCAAGTATCGAAACACAAGCAGTGATTGCCAGCGACCAAGACGCAAATACCAGCCCACGATCAGGGACCAAGGGCATATAGGCATATATGACTTCGAATGAGAATATCATCTATTGGGCAAATGCAATGGGCAGACATGATGCTGTCTCACAGTTGCCATATGGTGAAGCATCTAGAACCACCACAGAGCGGCAAGACATCGCTGCGATGGTCATTAGTATTGAAAAGTTCTCATTTTTCCCCTTCGTCTTGACTGTGGATACCAAATAATCAATGCTGACTGAGCCCGGATCCGAAACACCGCGTTGTATGTCGAGAGGAGGTGCATGGAATCCTCGAAGCCGTTGCCACCGAAAGAGACGTGTCAAATGTGGTGCTGTCGTCTCAGCCATCTCAGTCTGGTTACATGCACTCGCTCTGGCGAGCAAGTCAGGCCAGCAGCCCTATCCTGTCGGCCCAATCCTTTCTCCAAGCGACTCAGCCATTCGAAAAAGGTTGAGCAACACAATAAACCTACTAGGAACGGACTCCATGGGTCTCATAACCACGTGATCCACTCTGTATGGCGTGATGCTATCAATCCGTCAAATGAGGCTGTGCGACCGGAGTATGCCGTGACTTTGGAGATTGTCCCTTGGCGAAAATCGGCTTATGCAAGTCGACTTTCCGTGCTGGAGTCAACTCACCATGTCCTTACTCCTTGGAGAGAATCAATTCAGTAAGCTGTCAATTCAGTTGAAAAGTGCTCGTGGTATGTCCCCGCCGCACATTCAATTCTTCATAGAAGGCGCTAACACGGCGAGGGCAAGTGAAAGGCACAGGATGTCAAACAATAGTGCAGATGCGGAATATCGTGATCAGCCCAAATGTTCGCTGGACTTTGTAGGACTGATAAGGCCTCTTCGTGGCTTTACGGTGGTGCTAACAACTAGCCGAGGTTGCGCGTGGTAGATATGCATCGCGCGTTGACGCGTCGCCCCGCCATTTTTCTCCTACCGACCACCGCTGTTGACGCCTCGATATCTGAAGTCGGCCTTCAGAAATGTGATATTTTGTCTAATTGTCGCAATACACGCTCTTTTCACGACGGGCCGGAGATTCCTGCGCCACGTGTGCACAATTGCTAATGAGTTGGTATTACATCACTTTTCCAGAAAATTCGACATTGCCTATTAGGAGGATGTCCATCGCCCATACCTGTATTTGATTCATTTTCCAAGCGCCCTCGAGCCGGGGGGCGGGGTCCCCCAGAGACCCCCTTTATGGGGGTCGGCGAGGCAATTTCCAATTGCCGGGGGTGCCCCCCATAGGCGACGGGCAAGACGCCCACATTAGTGCCGTCCCCTACTGCCTCTGCATACCATTACATCTAGTATCCAGCGATCATCAATTTGCGCAGCGCATAGAATTCAAGAGCATTCGCGCTTCGGCTTCGGATTTGTCGACTAGTCGTCTTCCCATACTGGTGGCTGCTCAATGGACAAGAGTAGCTTTTGGCCTCGGCCACGCAGCCAAGTTAATTCAGACACTTCACATCACCTATCAAGCTCTCAACAACGAATGCTCCACTTTGGAATCAGCAACGCAATTTCCTCTCGTGCCGTTGGGAAATTCTTGGTTATCAATGTTCAAATCCTAAGGATGATGCGACCTTGACAGTGACGGGTCAGCGAGTGGAAGACTAAGGCCCTTTCTCGATCATCTGCTTGCACACGGCTCGAATCAGTACCGGCGTCTTCACGCCACAAGTCGTTGATATCGTACCGAGAAGTTAGAGTGGAGCCCCGACATCCCTTCGAATAGTCGGGTACAAGAAGACGACGGAACCGGGGATAGAGACTAGGTCCTAGGGCATCTTCAGGATGATAGAATGCTTAGGCTCAGTCTCCAACTTCCTATATATTGAATGAAATCGCTCGGGCACAACAATAAGGATGGCTACAGGACAGACTGAAAAGCTGATATGCGACTTGGCTTCAGGTGCCTTGATGAGTAGGAGGTTGAGGAACAGGGCGCCAATGTGACTGCTGGACGCGTGATAGATGCTCCGCGTAGAAGCATGAGAGATGAGGACAAATCGAGAATGACCGGCGAATCTTGCCCGTCGCCTTGGGGGGCACCCCCGGCAATTGGAAATTGCCTCGTCGACCCCCGTAAAGGGGGCCTCTGGGGGACCCCGCCCCCCGGCTCGAGGGCGCTCAAGGAATGAACCAAACATTCGCATTGAGTACATGCATCATCGTAACGAGAATGGGCCTAATCAAACCGAGGAACTTATCCCCACAAGTTTAATCCGTTGCCATCTCGTTCTACTTGGGATGCGCAAGGAACTACCCGAAGACTTTAAAACAGACCAGGTTGAACACCACTGGGGATCACCGTTCGAAAAGGTGCGAGTAATAATCTAGGTTCACGTTCGAGACAATGAAGGGCTCTGTCTCTCATGCTATGGAATAGCAAGGGAGCACCCGGAGACAATTTCTGGCTTGATAGGTAGCTTCACATGCAGCGAGGACGACGTCCTGATGTAATCGAGAGTGAAAAGTCCTGCTACAGTTGTTCTCTTGGATGAATTCATTGTCGCTGCTTTGAAGCAAGGCCCCTGACCTCTACATTGTTGGCGTTACTGACTTTCACGTGTCTGTTCAGATACTTTTTCTGGATACAAGTGGGAGGCTTTCCGAGGTGAAAGTTCTCTCAGTCAGAGTGATGTGGTATTATGCTGACAATGCAGATACTGCGCATGACGACTGCAGCCCATCTCCAGTGACTCAAGACGAACTCGATTGCTTGAAAGTTGCATCAAGCTGTCACCAAAGCCAGGCCATTATCATCTCTAAGTTAAGATAATGGCGGTGCCTATATGCCCTTTCAATTCGCCGAGTACGAACTGTCAAATGTAAGCAAAGAGATTTCCATCAGCAAATCTATATTGCTTTCAGATGGAGAATTTTGCTTTTCACCCAAATAAAACATGACACGAGTCTTTTTGATACTTATTAAAAATGAGCTTCCACCGTGCAGTTTAAATTGGATGCACGAGCCTAGCCTTAATATCCCAGAAGTACCAGAGAATTGCTCGAGAGACAGCGAAGTTTCAGTTATTGAAACAGAGGACTCTTTGTACGGTAGCCCTCGGTTCTATCATAAGTCATATATCATATAAGTCGGATTAAAGAGGCAGTCAGAATGGTAATTACGAACCTCGGAATTCAATCCTAAAGGATTTGTCGTCAAAGGGGATTGGTTGAATTTTAGCCAATCCCCGCTCAAATATCCAGCTGCGTTTGTCGAATATTGTCCGACAGGAGGAATTTCCATCATATGACCAGTTTGCAGACAGGCATAACGTACTTTGCGCGGGATCCGGTCCTCGAACTCGGGGCTTCGTGAGAATCTGAATCTGGGAGTCAAGAGATTGAATGTACTGCCTTGTCACAGTCATTAATTGGCAGTGGTGGGCCTCCGGTATACCTTCTAACCAATCCGGCAGCACCCATCTCTCATTGAGCTTCCCGAACGTTCTCAAAAGCTGAAATTGACCATGAGTCTTGAAGAACAAATCGCATAAAAAGCACGGATCCTTGTTAGCACATATTACTCTAGGCTTCTTTGCGCATGGATTGATCTCATAGTAGAAAAGAAGTTTTATCTCCGCGTGAACTTTGATACCTGATCTGGTCCCGTTAATACGCTTCCGCAGAATAGCCTCTGCCTTGGTTTTAGGTCGCCCGAAACTCTGCAACACCTTGTTCGGGTGGGGTGTGGACATCAAATACTCGATAAATAGGAGAGCCGAGCCCGGTAGTGATGGAGCTTTCACTTCCTGAGGCAAGCCTATCTGGAATATGCCGACTCGGATTTTTTGAAAAATGGAGCGTTTCCTTTTCACGGCAGAAACAAGCTTGATACTTGCTTTGTAATATCCAACACTTAAACTATTAGCCAAAGAGACGTATAACTAGAACCAGAGTATTCGCTACGGACAATAGGTATTAAACATTATCGAAAACCCAATTTTTCTTATACCTGTGGACCACTTAGGGATAGTGATAAGACCGAGTCGCCTATTTTCGTCTGCTATAATATGTCGAACTCCGCCGGAGAACATTACCACCTTTCCTAACTCGGACTAATGAGTCAGCGCGTGCTTAGATCCTATAATACTGTCCTTGTATGTAAAGCGAACGTAAGGGTCCGTACGAGCTATACAACTAGCTTCGGTGAACGGGCAGGATCGCTCAACTCGATCCAGCACCTAGATAAAAAAACCCTCCGGCAATTAGATCATTGATTTACTAGCCTATACACGATTTGTCCCTATCCGACAGATCTCACTAACCATGAATAGGTTCGCAGTTGCGGAACTTTGCCGTGGGGGGGGGGGGGGGGGGGCCTTAAATGCACGCACTTTCTCCTTTGGGACCCCGATCGATTCCCAGCCCTTATCTCCTCCAACAAAAATTCATATAAAGCTGGATCATATCCTTGCGAACACGAGAAGAAAGCTGGTATAATTTCGCTGGCTTGCGAGATGTGGCGAATAACACTATTTTTCAGAAATTTCTACCTTCGAATTACCGTGACTCTTCTGCGAATCCTGTTCAAATTGACACGCCCAGCGATAGCCACGAAAAATTTCCATGCTGCATTGCAAATTCCAAGTCGCGATGCTGGCAGAAATATAACAGCACATCTATACAAAAAAGATACTCCACCTTCTCGTCCACAGCCAGTCTTGATCAATCTTCACGGGAGCGGAATGATTTTTCCAGCCTTTGGCGACGATGACGAATTTTGCCATCACGTTTTCCAAAGAACTGACCATGCTGTGATCGATGTCAAATATCGATTGTCTCCCGAGAATCCATTCCCCGCCGCGATCAATGATGTCGAAGATCTTGTCCGATGGATCATGGCTCAGCCAGAGAGATATGACTTGGCACGGCTGAGCATTTCTGGCTTCAGCTCTGGAGGAAATCTTGCCATCGTCGCTGCTGCTGTACTATTTCCCAAGGATACATTTCACTCCGTTCTCACATTCTACCCCGGAACAGAACTTGCATCTGACCCGACTGGAAAGATCGCTCCTGATAACTCCGGGAAGCTGATTCCTCCGCGAATAGCCCGCTTCTTCCATTGCTGTTATATTCCCGTGGGTGTTGATGCACGCGATCCTCGAATCTCGCCACTATTTGCGGACTTCTCAAACTTCCCTTCGAAGCTTTTGGTGGTCACTGCTGCTCGGGATAATATGGCACCAGAAGCGGAGGAGTTTGCCATGCGCGTCAAGAAGCAGACTGGCTATGAACCAGTTTTGCAGAGAATGGAGCAGTGTGAGCACGGTTGGGACAAAAATGCCAAAGGAGGACCTGTACAGGAGGAGGCTAAGAGAAGGGCTTATTCAATGGCCGTTGATATGCTTAAAGAATAATATCTCAGAGGTACCTTGTCAGAGCTAAATGTTATAAGCAATCAGGGTGTAAAGTACAGATACTGGAAGCTAGTCCCTGCTAAAGGCTACATAAATTACCGCTCAATAATCTCACTGGTGTTTTGTTACAAACAAACAAACAATTCATTAACGCCCGGCGGCTGAGCCAAAAGGGCAACTATCATTGGTTTACTGTACATGTCCATGTGTGTATGCTGTGTCTCCTGAAAGCCCATACATAATGCCTTATAACATATGACAATTCCAAAAAGCAGTGTCGCAGCGAGTTTCTCGTGGGTTAGTAAATGGGTTAGTAGGCTGGCTTGAAGGCGCTCCTCCAAGTGTTCAACATCCTATCTTCGGCAGTTGAAGCGCGTCTACCATCTGTAGCACGAGGTGGTGGGTAAGTAGGGTCGGAAGAAGGGGGTGGGGGTTATGTTGGTCGATATGTTCAAGTGGCCTCGAGTCGGCCCGTCGCAATGGCAAAACGTATGGAGGCCCGTACTGCCTCTAGGCTTGGCGTCCACTTCTGATCATCAGAAGCCTGTTTTCCGCCCAGGAAGAAGGATATGTTTCCTCGGTGAGTCTGCGTGCATTGTAACATTTCCGTCCGGTGCGCCGTCCACTTCCGACATCGGAAGAGGAAGTGCTCCACGGTCTCTCTTGCTTGTCCGCAATCGCATTGATCCGTCTCTGCTACATTAATTCGATTGAGATATCCATTGAGTCTAGCCATGCCGGTACGGAGTTGGGCCAGTACGGTCGCTTCTTTCCACGTTAGGCGATCGTACAACTGCCGGGTGTGTTTGCCTGGCAGTGCGGCATCCACTCGTTTTGCGTGTCTTCCTACGTTCTGTGGTAGCTCATTGCTGGGGACTGCTTGGGATCGTGCAATATTCAATGTTGTCGACTTCATCCTCGGGACGCGTTCTTGTGGGAGAGAATCTTGTTGTGTTGCAGTTCTGGCCTGTTCTTTAGCCAGACCTAACGGCTTATTATCTTCGCTAGTAGGAATCCAGTGGAATTTGATCCGGTTTCTATTCCTTCGCAGCCTTCTCATCAACTTGTACGTCTGACAAATAAACTCCTGCCCAGACTGTCGTCGAGGGTTCCTTAGCATGAGCACCGCCGCCTTGTTGCTTGTGAGCAACGTAATCCTGTGGTCTTCGATACCCACTACCATTGCTAACACATGTGCCATGGCTGCCAGCTCCGTAGAGAACGGGTTCTACTCTACTCTCGCACCCAATGTGATGGAAAAAGGGTTGAGCTTCAATTTTCGATTTCAAGGAGGTTGTTTCTCTATTGCGACTCTAAATCCCACCAGCTCGTTCCGTGCCGAGCTGCTGACCGCGATCTACATCAATCCGCCCGCTTCAGTCTGAGCCTCATTTTGCCCATCAACATTGGCCTGCACGCGTTCATCCCATGGTGCCAACGTGAACGGGTTGATTATTTCGAGTGTCTTCAGGTCGACGTGCTTAAGCGCGTCCACTACGTGGTACAGCGGCGAGCGATGATATCGTCTGAACTTTCAGATCCGGTCTGTACTCTTTTTCTGCCTACAGTCGAAAGTGAAAACGGCTTCTACCCTGGTGACAGCTTTTGTTTTCTCGGGCCCCACTGCCAAAGCCTCAGCGCAGATCATTAGCCGGCGGTGGTATACTAAACTAGTGGTCACTGTAAATATCGTTAATCTAGAACCTTAATTACAGACGCGCTCGAATTCAGATTCACCTTTGTTCTTTTCGATTCTTCTCGAACCCTCAGCATGACGCCACACCTTGCGTCGAAGTTGGTCTCCTGACCTACCTGATTGCAGCAATTCTTGAGTACAATATTCGTAATTAGAGTTCGCTTTTGTCTTACCGTTGTACGGGCTATGCCGTGTCTAGAATAACTCACGTGCAGTCATAATATTCAAACTCATGAGATTAATGGTGAGCAATGGCGATCCAGATAATAACAGTATTACAGTAACAAACCATCGTACTCTCTCTTACACGCTCAGTTTATCCCTGGACTTCCTTGCAGTCTCCTGCTGTGCCTGATCGAGGGCTTTTCTCTTTGCTTTCTCTTCGTCCTTGAGTTTCTTTGCAGCCTTCTTCTGTGCCTGATCGAGGGCTTTTTTCTTTGCTTTCTCTTCATTTTTGAGCTTCTTTGCAGCCTTCTTCTGTGCCTTGCTGAGGGCTTCTGTTTTTGCTTTTGCTTCATCCTTGAGGGTTTTCATGGCCTCCTGTTGTGATTTATCCAGGGCTTTTCTTTTTGCTTTTATTTCATCCTTGAGCTTCTTTGCAGCCTGCTTCTTTGCAGCCTGTTTCTTTGCAGCCTTCTTCTGTGCAGTGTTGCTATCTTCAGGTGAGATCACAGTTGAAGTAGATTCAGTTGTTCTCAATACTCCTTTCTCTCCCTTTGTTGCATCATTCTCATCCACTATTTTGTCAACAAGCGAATATAATAAACCAAATAATAGGAATATCGATAATTTGCTCTGGAGAAACAGCAATAATAATAATAGTAAAATACGATATGTAGGTTTGATAAAACCAACCTGGATTATATCATAAGTGACGATTCTCCAGGGTAATTAAATAGCTGAAAGGACAAACCTTTTTTTCAAATTGCTTAGAAGTCTCAGACAAAAAGACATGCCACTCACTAGAAGTCATTAGACTTCTCAGTTCCGTTATATCGTTGCTGTGTCCTACTTGTCTCCATTTCATCTTATATGGTCTCAATCCGAATCGTTCCACCCATTTCTCTCTTCTGTCGTTTGGCCATAGCTCATAATAAAACTCTTCGTCTTCACTTTCCTCAATCATAGGATGGGTTATTAAGATTTTTTGAACGGAATTTTGGTTGAGTAAGCCCCGAATTATGGGTTCCTCGATAAGTTGGTAATAAGATAGACCCGACGGATGAAATCGCTCTGGTAGTGGAGGTGAAAGTAGTATAACTTTTTCACCCTGGGCTATGCGCCAAGCAAATAGAGCGGAAGCACCATGAACATATCTACTCCATTGCCGGGGGTTCTTTTTCAATTTTAAGCATTCTGGATGTTTTTCATCCATGAGTGGCCCCATTGCTGTGGTCAACGTTTGAAGTCCATGCCTATCAGCCCATCTTTGGGCCTTTTCGCGAGGAATGCCACTCCAGAGGACTTGGCCATTCGGAATCCAATTTTCAGATTGGAAACGTTTAATGATTTGAGCCGCTTCTTGTACGGATAGGAATCGGCTCAATACTCCGACAAGAGACGCTTGAGCTGACTGTTGGTTCGAAAGTAGTTGAATAGGTTTTTCGCAATCCATTCATCTGATTGGGAAGGAAGAAAAGAAACAAAGACAAACGCAGTCCTGTTCTTAATATTTTGCAAAACATGTTGCTAGGAGAGGTTGAAATTTACCACTAATACTATATAAGGAGGAAGGTTTAAGTTGCCACCTGGAGCAAGAATAAGCGACGTCATGACTTTTCCCGCTTTTTCTTTTTTTTCTAAATCTATTCAGATTATATAGTAACTCTGGTTATGGTACTAGAGTCATCCAAGACCTTGTATAGGATAAAAACTATATCAAGTGATTCATCTTGAGGTACAATAGAAGAAGCATGTCTTCTTGACTTCCCAGGGTAAGGTTCGTCTAGAGAGAGCAATACTACTACCACTTCAATTGCGTCGAAGTCGAACCGTCGAACTCTACCAGAGTATGATATATTTCTGTAGCCCTCAGCGTTGAAAATACTCCGATTGAAATAGACAGTATCTACCGCTGACTATAGAGCATAGGCAAACAGTAGGATTTGCGGAGTGAACAGCACCAGCATCTAGTAGCTGAATGTCAGTCACCCCAGCGAGACCAACACGATAGAGAGCCCACAAGGGCATCGGCATCCTTCCGTACGTCCCAGAGGCATTTCGGGGTGTTTGGATCTTCAAGAATGGACTTGAGAGTTTTGCCATTGTGTGAAGCGGTGGTGAAAGAAAGAGCGCCGGGAGCTAAGACGTCAATAGTTCGAATTACTTCTTGTGGGTGGACAAGGAGAGCAATAAAAGAAATAGTCCCATTGCGACTTAAATTATATCCTTCGAGGTCTAGGTATAGTGTGTTTGAAGATGATATTGAGGACAGCAAACTTTCTAAAGCCGGGACGGAGGAGTTGAGGGTCATTGTCGCGTACTCTTTTATACCGAAATTCTCATTGTATTCGATATATCATGGCCGTATCTGATGTATAAGTAGCCTTAAAGTTTGCCAAAAATTACAGCATGAAGGTTATTGCAAGACGAGGAAAGTAATTTTTAGCCAACTGAGTGGAGAGGGTAGTCGAGGCATGATCAGGATGCTTTTATAATCAATATTTTATCCCTAGAAACAACAATCCCTTGCTTCTGGCACAAAATTTGATTTGACGGTGGGTTTGGACACGGATTAACTCTAGCCCGCTCTATCCAATTATACAGATTCCTCGCGGACCGACGCTCTGCGTCTACTTACGTGATGGTGTCGTAAGCCAAAATACTGTATGAAAACCTGCTGGCCTCCTAAAGAATACTATTCACTCTGCATGCCGCTTTCACTCCAGACATCCCCTTTGAATAATTACGACAAAAATATGCCGAAGAAAAACGATAGGAAGCTTCCACCACAGCGCAAGAAGGGGCACAGTTATACTGAGAGCCAGGACACTATTTGCAGTCAAGAATTGCTAGATGCTTTGGCAGGGTATTACACCCATATTGTACTTGCACGAGACTGCTGGTTTCTAGTACGGAAATTTAGCCTACAATATGACTCGAAATATAGTGATTTAACTATTATTTGTGGACAGGATTCGTACGCGGTCCATCAATGTATAGTTTGTACACGATCTGAATTCTTTGCTAAAGCCTGTGATGGTAATTTCAAGGTTAGATTCCACAAGCGCTCCCTATATAGAAATGCTCCCAAGCTAACAATGACTTTACGAAGCTTCCACTAGCGAGATCAATTTGAATGAATCGGGTAGCGTTTGAAACTGTGTTTTGAATTGCTGTGAGCGCTGGCTCTGCTGATACTAAACCATATAAAGCAGGCCAGTAACCGAGGATAAAAACCGTCAACACTAAATCGTGTTGATAAATTCTTGAAAAGCAATCAGAAGAGGGCGTGAAACGAGAAGAAATGAGGAAGGAGCAAATCAGAGGCAAGAAGTAGATTAGACTGGCGAATTAAATGTTAAAATTTTGCCTAACACCCGTCTAAGAGATTACCGCACTCTTTACGATAATTTACGATACTTGATTCGACAACAAGTTCCAGAAATCTCCCGAGCGAGACTAGCTGATTGTAATCCCCGACGCGCACTAACTGACAACTTGCTAGCAATGTTAGCAAAACCTGCCCAGACTCTTGGACGCGTCACACATTGCTAAGGCGCAGCCACATTGATATACAGGTACATTGTACCCAAAGTGGTAATCGTTTATTAGTTAAACAACCAAATGGTTTGGTTAGGATTAGTGAAACCTGTATTTCTTTTATTTCTAAACTTTTTCACTTTAGTGATAGCCCCGATAGAAAGCTCTTCTCAAGTGAGGGTCATTTTTGCTTTACGTCATCCAATGTCTCAGATCAATCGGTGATCGTCGTTCTAAGACCCTGTTTCTCTGCAGCTGAAGAACGATATATACGCGATCGAATTTAGAAAAATTGACTCGGAATTTCCACAACCACCTGGGCAGGAATAGGGGTATTTCGAACTGCCATATTGGTGGACTTGCTTCAAGAGCGTGGGCGCCTCAATCGAATACAACTCGTACAGCTGCAGATTGTTGAAATGGGTCTCGCGTTCGTCACACTCTAGAACCAATGGAAATGGATGCTGACAATATGTTACCAGCTTGGAAGAGTCTGCTTTGGACTGGAGAGACTCTGCAAATGCCGGCCCCCTCGCTCGCCGATATGCCGCAAAGGTAAGCTCATGATGCAATTGCGCTCACTTTCGTGAACGCCCGACTGAAAGCTCCTGACAGCAAATCCTGGCACTATGGCTAAAGCAAAGGAATCGCCACGATACTGATTCGCTATGGGGTGACGAGGTAAGTAACCAATAAATCAGAAGAACCTTGAAGAGATCCTGATATTACAAATCATAGATAGAATTTTCGCTGGTTGATTTGGACGCGAAATTGTCGCAATCAACCATGCTCCTAGACCAAGAGCGTGTTATAAAAAGCTGGGAGAAAAGTCGGCTTTGTCAAGAAAATCAATAAGTGAATCATTCAACTACGAAGTAAAGAAACTTCTTCTCATGAATGACTAGTGGATTGCTACAATGGGAATGGGCGTCCTATGTCGTGGAATCAACACCAGTCAAGCCATACTCAGGATGCATATCAGACTTAGTCCATGTTGAGACAAATATGCGAGGCAGGTATGGTTGAAGTCAATCAGACGTGTTTTTTCTGGTTACTAGTTTTTGTAAAGGCGAGAACTAATTCAGCGCTTCCTTGGTCCCGATCAACATGCAATGTCTCTATCCATGTTCCCTAGGGCCGGAGTGAAAAGCACATGGACAACGCCCGGCCCTCCAACTGAGATACTTTGCACACAGCCTCGCTATACAATTTTGGCAGAGAAAGTCGGAAATCGGGCCAGAGGTCGTACGAAAACATGGCTTCCTGTATACCGAGACCGCTTGACCCAGTCTCCATTCATTGATGAAGTGGCAAATGGACGTGAGAACCAAAATCACGTTTGTCTCGATCAACTAGATATGGGAATAGGATGTTGGAGCATCCAAACTACTTTTCAGACTTCTGATGAAACTGAGGCGAGGTGGCTACATGACCAATTAATTCCACTGGGCCCCATATTTCTCGCCATGACCGCCGCAACGCCAGTCTGGAAAGGTCACTTGGTTGACTCCAATTGTCGATGGCAGAGGTATGGGGACTTGGTGGATGATCGCTCGCTAGACGAGAAAGGATCCATTGTAAGACACTTCACTTACTTGTGGCTTTAGCTGAGCTAAAGCTAAATTTGCTATGCCTAGCCTCCACGATGGACTTGGGAACAAAGTTATATCTCTACGGAGCAGCCATCGGGTTTAAAAAGCCACCAATTATTACATTCAATCGATGATGATGTCCGTGAATATCTGATTGAAGGAGGGATGGATGGCTTTTTAGCAGATCATTTCGCATCCATCCTCACACGAGATCCTCTCTTGCTCACCGAAGCGGACCTGAAAGATAGCGATCCCCCTGAAACGCGACTTTTCGAAACCCTTTATGGCTGCGTTTGGCACCCGGTCAGATTCAAGCCACCAACTGGTGATCGCGGTCCGGGTTGGCGAGTCGAATTTCGACCAATGGAAGCGCAGCTAACAGATTTCGAAAATGCTGCTTTCGCGATTTTTGCATATTTTGTTTCTCGGGCAATCACCGTTCTTCGCTTGAAATTTTACATCCCGGTTGAAAAGCTGTCGGATGCATGGGCTACAGGTCAAGACCGTGGGGCAGTCATTGGTGGACGCTTCTGGTTTCGAAAAACCGGATGGCTTTCTGACTCGGACAAAATCAATCCGGACATTATTCGCATGCTCTCGCAGCACGGCTATCATTACACCAGCAAAGAGAGCTATGCTCAAATGACTGTCGATGAGGTAGTTAATGGAGAAGGTACTATCAATGGTTTTCCGGGCTTGCTATTGATGCTGCGTTGCTACTTTGAGTATGTCGGAGTCCCCATGGAAGAGCAGGAACAAATCGCTCGGTATCTGAACCTCATTCGAGATCGAGCGAGAGGCAGAAATCCAACCCCTGCGACCTGGATAAGAGAATTCATCGGTAATCACAAGGACTACGCTGAGGATAGCTATATCAGTGAGAAGGTATGCTATGATATGATGAGGACTATAATTCAGCTGAACGAAAAAAAGTCAGAATAGATAGTTGTGGTGTCTCAAATATTACTATATTCACAAAATTCTTAGGTCTCAACATCCGCGTAAGAACTTGATGCTCGAAGCTTTCCTCCATATTTCCACAAAATGAAGGGAATCGGGCAACCGATGAACAGAGCTATGAAGGCCAAAACACTGTTACCCCACCCATATCCCAATGCGGCATACATCTCTGAACTGAATAAAGGAAAACCGAACCCCGTGAGGCCACGAAGGATATAAACGGTGCCGTTAGCACTAGCGGCGTAGAGCGGAAATGTGTCCAGGAGATAAGCGCTCACACATTGGAAGACAATAGTTGCTCCCATGAGTGGCAATGCAATCCCAATATCGGGAATAATCCAATGAGTCTTATATTCCGCACTCCAGCCATACCAAAAGAGCCCAATTGGAACAAGTAGTAATGCCGGCACCATCATCGGCAGCCTAAACTCGGGCTTTCCTTCGCCATTATTCCGAGCGACTTGTCGACGATAGATGGGGTCGGTGAGAAAAGCACAGAAAATCGCGCCTCCTAGGTAACCGCAACATGGCGCGATATAATGCTGGCCGCGGATTGTCCCCAGCTCGTTCCGTTTCTTGGAATATATACCTGGTTTTATGCATTGATTCACAACTTGAGGCACAGCAGTGATAACAATGTCTAGTACTTGAGGACAGACGTTCCTAAATTCTCAATAATATGGCTCACGAGGCGAGCAATCTGCAAGAAATCATTATAATTGCTGGATTGTGGGTACTTCCTCTTGTGAGGGGAGACATTCTCTCGAACCGCATTTATATAGCTTCAGGCTCATATAAAAGGCACACATCTCTCATGCTGGAGCGCCTGTCATACTCCCTGCTTTCATGGCTTCCTGGCTCGACACCGCTCGAGACGCTTCGGGGTGGGCTTTGGTTAATAACGGTCGCCTGGAAACATTGGTGCAATCGATGAGCCATCCTGATTCCCAGTTCCCTGCACTCATTTGTTTTGCTGGGAATGCACACAGAGTCAAAGCGCTCCGAGCATTATTCCCCCACAACAATATTACTCGCAGAGGTCCTTCGACATTAACGCGCTTGCATTTAAGCACAGAATCTGCCAAGACCAATTATCCGGTTCTCTTCGCAGACTGCGAGATATTTCGCGCTGGCGTTGTGGATCTTGCCGTACACAAGAGATCAGATTAGAAAACACAGCAATACTCAATCGCTCAGCGAGATAGCTTCTCAGCCGTGGAAGTCAACTGCAGCGTAATATCTCGAGTTGTTTTGCCATGGACTCAAGTTCTTTGTCTGTTTGTAGATAGTATTGATGAAATGAGAGTGCTTCAAAAGCTGTTCTGCAAGCCCCGCCACGACGTTCAAGTTGGATCTCATCCCATCACAATTCGTTTACGAGTACTGGTCGTCCTTACAAGCCAAGAGAGCCCTGGTTCCAGCGAGATGGCCGCAATTCTTCCTCAAGATCAATCGCCTGAATGGCTTGCACCAGAAATATGTTTCCTTGACCTAAGGGACAGGCACGAGCTGTCACCCGTAGCCGCCTTCGAGCCTTTACGCTGCATGATACTCGAGAAGCTAAATCTGGCTCGGACCGAGCAGGACCAACAGGGATCTTTGTTCTCTGCTGTCCATCTCGCTGTTTTTTGAAAAACCAATCTGGAATCCAAGATGCGAACCTTTGATTCGCAACCCTTTGACTGTCTTGAATTAGCGCGAATACACTTCCCATCCAAATCTAATAGTAAAACGCACCTGTTAGAATTTCTGACCAAAGTGGAAGAAGCCCACTGCGATATCGAGGATGTTTCCTCGTTTGTTGCCTCGGCATTTTTGATGGATGCATATCCACCTGGGATGCATTGTAAGTCAACATTATCATCCAATGGCCTTGTCTAACGGTGTTCTTAGTGTTCAATCCAACACATGTCTTCCACGAACTGTACCTGGACGATTGCTTGAAGGCATGGACCGGGCACAAGGGTCAAGACGTCGACCCTTCTGAGTTTTCCGACACCGTTATGCCCACTTCACTGGACTTTTCGAATCCATAGATCTGGGAAAGACATCTGCGGCTATTCGACGACTCACTCTCAAAAAGTTCACCCAGCGTTGGGGAGGCTTATACTCCTCTACCAGCTGTTTCATCTGCTTGAATCGAGCGCTAGAGCACATGCTAGCGTGTCAGCATGCGATGTGTGATAATTGTGTTGTCATATTCGGGTCTAAGAGTCCAACCGCGGAATATCACTACAATGTGACGGCATGTCCAATGTGTACCTGCAAGCTCCATCTTGCAGTGCGGCAAATTCCTCCAACAAAAGGGCCGAATATCTTAACACTCGACGGCGGGGGCATCCGCGGGCTTGTGCAACTTGGCTTGCTTCGCTCGTTGGAAAAACGAGTGGGTGGCAGTTTCATTCAGTCAATTGACTATTGCGCGGGTACAAGTGTAGGTATGTCTGGAAAACTTTATTCTAGCCGAATGTCCCAGCATAGTATAGCCTGTCTTATTAACATCCATTCTAGGAGGCTTGAACATCATGGACTTGGTTTTAATCAATCTTCCGCAGAACGCAGTTTCCAACGATTCCCGGAGTTCGCGGAAAAGATTTTCGAGCAGCCTGCAAGGAATGTCCAGGCTTGGGTGTTAGGTCTGAAAGGGCTTCTCTTGAATGGCAAGTATGACGACCGTGCGCTCGAAGAGACCCTTACGGCAGGTTAAGGAGCCGAAGGCCGAATCTTTGATGTCGGAACCACCTCTGGTATCGGTAGTCGCGTGGCGATTATCGTCAGCCGGATATCTGACGGGAAGGCTTGCGTCATCGCTAACTATCGTGGTGTCGGTCGGCAGAAGGGAGAATCAGCTTATGAATTTCTGATGCCTCGAAGCCACAATGAAAATCCGCTGCTGCGGGATGTGTAAGCATTGACATCTTTCCTGGAGTGACTGCCAACCATGATTGAATCATACCTGACTTGTCCGAATACTAGGGTCCGTTGTGGTGTCGCTGCTCCAGGGTAAGGGTGGTTCTGGTCGGTGATAGACGAAGCTAACAAGCTGTCAGGTTTTTCGGGGTGAAAAAACTTCCTGGGTTCGAGCCACTGCAAGATGGAGGGGTGCGCGCCAACAATCCACTGTCTATAGCTTTGAAAGAGTGCGCACTTATCTGGCCCGATAAAGAAAAGCCTGATCTAGTTGTGTCGGTACAAACAAACAAACAAACAATTCATTAACGCCCGGCGGCTGAACCGAAAGGGCAACTATCACTGATCTACTATACATGTCCATCTGTATATGCTGTGTCTCCTGAAAGCCCATACATAAAACCTTATAACATATAACATTTCCAGAAAGCAGTGTCGCAGCGAGTTTCTCGTGGGTTAGTAAGTGGGTTAGTAGGCTGGCTTGAAGGCGCTTCTCCAAGTGTTCAACATCCTATCTTCGGCAGTTGAAGCGCGTCTACCATCTGTAGCACGTTGTGTCGGTACACACACACACACACTTCATTAACGCCCGGCGGCAGAGCCGAAAGGGCAACTATCGCTAATCTACTATACATGCCATGATATATACAGTACTGTGTCTCATTAGAGCCCATACATGATTGCTTTCAGAATATGTCATCTCAGGTGCTCGTATCGCAGCGGATTCTCGTGGGTTAGTAATTTGGTTAGTAGACTGGCTTGAAGGCGCTTCTCCAAGTGTTCAACATCCTATCTTCGGCAGTTGAAGCGCGTCTACCATGAGTAGCACGAGGTGGTTGGTGGTGTGTCGGTACAGTAGAATTCGAAAACAGATTACCCCTTGGACACACAGGCTTTCTTTCCCAGTGCCCCACTTAGATCGCGCTAAGCCGAATTAGACCGGAGAAAGTCCCCACCATTCTTTCTCAATGTATCTCTTGTTGATCACCAAAATTACCGGAATTACCGGTTTCGGCATTGGGCAGACCACACTTGCCGAAACGGCCCGTGGCCAAACGTCAAGGTAGCAAAATGCAGCGACCGAACGATCAATACATCCAGGGGGTTTTTGGAGATTTTGTAAACGACATCGGAGAGGGCTTGAATGTGAATGATTAAAAAAGCATAACTTTAAGATTGCACGAGACCCGAATTGCAAATACAGTAATCATTTGAGATATATCAATGGCCAGAATTGGCCCGACCGGTCAAACTCGAATGCAAAACTGTAGTCATGGACCATGTGTGCCAAAAGATCACTCTCAAAGCTGAGGGAGACGTCTGTTCCAGCAAAAAGGTTTTCCAAACAGTTGCAAGCCTCGTAGAACAAAACATCTGTGGCTCCCCTGGACGGCAACTCGAGCATTTTGCCCGGAGCCAAAACGTCCGTACTCAAATAGACTTCCTTGAGCAATGGAATCGCTCCTAAATCTACCTTTTGAGCTAAATAAGAGATAGTGTGGTATACAGGCGCGTAGCAGTTCCGAAGGCCGAAAGTCTTTAGGCTAGGAGGAAGATCCGGCAACACATCTGAAAATACTTGGTCCACATCCAATGCTTCCAGGTTACTAAAACCGAGGAAAGATCCGTATGACATATCCCTCCAAATCTGCACATTGGCACTTACTTCCAAATTATTGTAGAAGGATACATTTAGTCGTTTCAGGCTGCTTTGTTGGTAATTGAGTGCTGACCTCAATTCTCGAGGATTGAACTGGTTGAACGGGCTTGCACAAGCAAAGTAATCAAAATATTGCAAAGACTTGCAGGCCGCAATGAGCGTGTGAATGCTGATTGCATCCACACAACTGTTTCGAAAGGATATTTCGGAGAAGTTAAAAGTTCCAGGAGGAGCACGTTCCGGTAACAAGTAAGATGATATACCCGGAATATGTCCACAGCAGTTATCGACATGAATCTTGTCCAGTTGTGGTAACGACAAAAGTGGCATTATGTCTGTGAGGCTGAGTTTAGTCCCGTTCATCCGTCCGCCGTTTGTGTCCACAAGATGCAAAAGCCTCAACCCTTCCAACGGTGATGGTGATGGCTTGTTGTTGACATCAACAGGCATCGAACGAAGAGTTGTTAACCACTTGAGGCTGCAAAAGCTAGTCGGAATGGTCAGGTTTTCGAGGTTGGATGTATTAACGAAGAGTAGTGAAGCAGACGCAATAATTTTGGAGCACCGATCATCCTTATCTAGGTCTTGAGAAATTCTGGAAGATGTAATGGGTGTAACAGTGCGCGATTGATATGCGCGAGACTGCAAGCCCGCGGAACGGACTCCAATAAGACTTCTTGGATGGTCAATCAGGTCGCCGTCGAAGGCAAGATGAATGACTATGCGCCGTATTCGGGCAGCTAAAAAGCGACAAGAGATAGCAGTGCGAGCTAAGAGTGACAGTGGCCGTAAGGAACTAACCGTTAGATCGGTAAGATCCAGAAACACTGCTTGATAAAGTAGAGGCTGTGCGATGCCGAAGAGCTTTCTTGAAACCAAACATAGAGAGCGTAGAGCGTCAACTGCCCAAGTATAAGCGAAAATTGCACACAGTATTTCCGCTGGTAGATTTTGTAGATTTGACATGCAGCCGAATCGAGGGACAGGGCCTCAAGAAATCCGGAATTGGGGGTGAGCGGTCCTCTCGAGGTGACTCTAAGTATCTCGTGGAGTCGTGACCATTTATGATGTAACCATCACGTGGTCCCTACAGCGACTTACTTGCCGGAACGCTCTGTAGCCATACAGCAAATTCGAAAACAATCTTTACCCTCACACTTGTAGTTACTTCACACGGAATATTTATACTCTCTGACCCCACTGTCCCTCTATAACCCTCCATCCCTCGCAACATCGCTTTCTGAGATCCGCCAGGTTTTTTATGCACTATGGTATTTGCTTTCGGATATCGATGTCACCACCTACATGTGCTCTTCATTTTCCGTCCCAAATTCCGAGTCAAGCTCCACTAGCTTATAGCATGTCCAGCTCGTAATAGTTTTAAAATACGTTTCGTCTCGGATAACATGGCGTAATTGACTACGTAACTTTCATATTCTGGATGACAATCGGTCACGTGCCAACAAGCGTCATACAAATTGCCTATGAACTAATTACTTTATGGATGAAGTAACCCCCATCCCGGTGACATGAAATGCCCTGCGCATTCGAGCACTGTCACTCCCACTACACACGTTGAATATTGCCTAAGAGCAGCGGAAACACCGTCTGAAATGGATAGGAAGACAATGGTGCATTGTTTCGCCTACCTAGTTACTAATTTCGATTTTTTATATCATCATAATTATATTACCTGAGCATATACTAATTTTGGTGGAATTCTTGGCAGCAGAAAGGTACATAAAACAAAATTACTGATAAGGCGAATACACCGGAAGGACAACAATCATGTAACTCTACGTATGAAAAATACTAGCGCCGCTAAACGGGACAGCCGCCCCACAACCCTGTGAAGTAGGAGATGGCCTGCTTTTAGGAAACATAACTCTAGTAGAAGTCCTTCGGGACCGCAGCAAATTGCGAGGGCATACAGTACTGCAGAAAAAATCACCAGATATAGATATTATATCTCCATGCATGCTGTCTTTGTACTAAATGCTGTAAATACAGGTCTGAGATTATAAAACCTCTGCACGCTTGTTGTGTGGATCCAAGAAGTTTAAATAATATCGAGAGTAGTGACAGTTGGGGGATGTCCACGTCCAGACACCTCTACATGTCGTGCTAGTGCCCGTCGATGCATCGCTTCCGCCTCTTCATATTCCCCTTGCCTGTCAAGCACTAAGCCAAGGTTACTGACACTGGTGAGTGTATCGGGATGCTCATGTCCAAGAACATCTTGATATCCTTCCAACGCCCGTCGATGCATCGCTTCCGCCTCTTCATATTTCCCTTGCCTGTCAAGCACTAAGCCAAGGTTACTGACACTGGTGAGCGTGTCAGGATGCTCATGTCCAAGCACCTTCTCTCGTGCTTCTGACGCCCGTCGAATGTGCTGTATGAACAGGGGCATTGTCTTGCATAAAAACTGCATTTTCATTGCCATTGATTAAGGTTGGAAGAACTGATTGAGATAGTTCAAGAATAACCCAGCGATTAATTCCTCCGACAATCTCACCCTCTTCATTGACTGGTGGATAGAGTGGGATCAAGCCAGTTCGACGTCCACAGCCTGAAAAAGCAGCCCAAAACATTTGTTTAACTCCTTTATACGAGAAAGTTTGAACATCGCGAGTTTTAGCCTGATATTTTGGTCTTGTAAAGGTCCATTCCTGACGAGCACCCTTTCCCCTTTCAACTGTTGATTCATCAGACCAGTAGAGTCCTAATTTCCATTCTTCAGGGGTTAAATTTTGCCAGATTAAGCCCACTGAAGTCGTTTTGAAGCCCATTCATCAGTTAACTCAGGACGGTGCATACATCGCCATTTTCGCATATTTGCTTCTTTGAGAAGGCGCCAGATTGATTACCGATGGACCTGACAATCACAAGCATCCATTAGATCTTCAATTTTGGTACGTGGATTGCCATAGATTGCCTCAGACATACGATCACGATCATCTTCAGAGATCTTGCGTGGGCGCCCAGATCGCGGCGATGTAGCATTATTTTGTCGCTTATTTTCGAGATAACAAGTCGATGCAATTGTTCCGAAAGGAATATGAGGCAGACGGGCGTGAATTTCTTTATATTGGAGACCCTCTGAGCGTAGAGTAGTGATTTTAGTACGTGTATACACGTCTAATTGCGGACCGCGACGCCTCGGTGGATTTAAGGGTGCGCGGTATGGCGTAGAAGATGGCTGTCGAGGCAGCTGACGCACAAGGTTTGGAGGCATATTGAGGATGCTTATAATGTGTTTTTTAACGTGCTTTTCGACGTGATTTTAACGTGTTTTTTTAATATAGTATAGTATGTCAAGTTGGAGAGGAGTGGTTTACCACTATTCCTCTCTAGGACTAGTGTATACAGCGCCCGCCCGCATTTTCTATGTATTCCCCCTGAAAAGCTTAGATAGTTCTTCAACCAGACATCAATTCCCAACCCTCATGATTGGATCGAGTTGTACTAGTGCATACGCGTTCGCGCCAGTCCGACAGTTATGAGCCCGGTCTGCCATACTGTATAAGAGAGATATATCAACGGCATTGCTCTGTATCTCGCAGCATACGAACGAACCCCTGAATGCCCCTGAGCCTATTCGCCTGTGGTCAGATTGTATCAGAACGCGGATCATGTTTGAACAGCTGTCTTGCCAATAAATCAGAGAGATTTTAAGGCCCTGTTCTATTACAGATATACCTGAATCAGAGAGATTCGAGGCCCCGTTCTATTGAAGTTACCCCTGAATCAGAGAGATTCACTACAGTACTCCACGAGTCACGCATAAATCAGAGAGATTATTGTGGATTTGGAAAGCGATCTACTCAGGATGTCCGGATTCGAAAGAGAGGGTCTTGTCTCGGTTCCTTCCGACCAGAAGCTTCGGTCGGAAGCCCAGTGGAGAGTCTGGATAGGACATATTCGGTCAGCAGCAAATTCGGAAGGAATATGGGACTATATCGATCCCGATAGACCTGGAGATGAGATCTTGGAGATCCCTACTGCCCGTTCAGAGCCGGAAATCCCAAAAGATAACCGCGGACGACCGAAAGATCTTGAAGACCTATCCGAAGACGAAATCCGACTGTGGGAATTAAAAGTGAGGATCCATGAAAGATCCGAAGCGAAACGTACGAAGCTCCTAAAGACGATGACGCGCCTAAACAGTCTTGTTACACGATCATTAGCCACTGAGCATCACTATTTGATTGTAGACGAAGACTCACCGAGGGGAAAGCTTATGAAACTAGCCGAAATGTTTCGCCCGAAGCCAGAAAGCCGTCAACAAGAACTTCGACGTGCGTGGAGAGCGATGATTCAATCGCCTAATCAATCAGTTAATATCGATCAGTGGATTACGCGGTGGGATTCCTTGTTCGAAGAAGGAAAAGTCGCGAAGATTCCCGATTGCTCATTTGGAGACGCGTTCGCTATTAGAGATTTCCTTGATGCCGTACAGAATATCGATGACACGTTCTGTGTAGGCTGGAAACGAGAGTTAGGCAGGCGCCCATATAAGATCGGATTCCACGAAGTAACGGCAGACTATCGACGCCGCCGTATGGATTTATCTGCGATACCCCAGAGATCAATGTCGAATATGGTATATACTACCTTAAGAGACCCACCAGGAGAGATACTAGACGAAAACGCCTGTCAAACACGATGCCCATGTGGGAGTGGCAATCACCACTATCGCCAGTGCTTCTATATCAACAGAGAGTTGAGACCAGAAGGTTGGATACCTAGAGAAGGAGTGGCAAGGCGAATCCCTGAATTTACAAAGAAGATGAACGCCAAGGACCAAGAAGCGATTGAAGAACTTTTAGAAAAGGGAGATCCAGCACATTTCGCAGCGGCCGAACCATTTATCTCTATGCTCGTTTTCGAGCTAAAAGCGAGCAGCCAGCAGAGAGCGTGCGAACGCTGGGAGGGTGTGTCAAGTTGGAGAGGAGTGGTTTACCACTATTCCTCTCTAGGACTAGTGTATACAGCGCCCGCCCGCATTTTCTATGTATTCCCCCTGAAAAGCTTAGATAGTTCTTCAACCAGACATCAATTCCCAACCCTCATGATTGGATCGAGTTGTACTAGTGCATACGCGTTCGCGCCAGTCCGACATATTGTTTCAACGCGTTATTTACTTTGAAGGCGGTAAGCCCTGACCGCCCGATTACTAAGGCTTGGCGAAAATAAGTTTTATGAGAACTTTTGTTACGACACTGTACACATCTGCTTTCCTTTGTTGTTTTGTTGTTTTGTTGTTTTGTTGTTTTGTTTCTACATTCGATGGGACCAGCGAGAGGCTCGGACTATGAGTTTCTTGAGGTCATCCAATGGGCTGGTCTAGACTGCGGCACGATCCATGGATATTGTGGAGATCCATATCCATATCCGCAAATTTGTGGATATGGATATATTTTGATGTCCAAGATCCACAAGCTGTTGGATATGGGTATAACTTAGGTATCCATGGATATTTTGTGGATATCCATTGGATATAAAACAATACAAATATGCCAAGCCTTGTGACCTTCCTCAGTATTTTTGCTGTACTAGCTATGTAATTCTTTATTCACATCTGTATAGTATAATTTTTTGATAATAATTCTTCTTTGTTCTTTGCTCGGCAGGAATAGTTTCTTTCTTATTATTACTTCTCAATTCTTAGACTAAATCACAGTACTAAAGAAGCTCAAACCCGTCTGGCAGTCTTGGCTGCTTCCGGGCTCGCCCCGGTCGCATCTGGGAGGATTCTATTGATACATCTGGGGCGCCATCGTCTTCTTGCTCACCAAGATCATCAGATGACCGCTTTCTTGATTGTCTTCCCTTTCCCCGCCTTTGTTGCTCAGTATTATCCAAATCATCTTCCCCAGCACCCTGTATACACTGCTGTATATCCTCTACCCCAGGATCTTCATCCTCCTCATTGTCACTAATTGGTTCCAATATTTCAAGCGGAGGCGATGGTTTACGGGCTTGTTCCATCAGTGCAGCCTCACTGTCGGAGAGATATTCTTTGATAGCATCCAGCTCCTCCTGCTTAAGATCGAAATTGGTAGCAAACTGATGAAGCATAAGCGCTCGGACTGTACTTGGTTTCAGCTGACCACGGCGATAATGGCAGATATCGCAGGCACAATTAAACAATCGCTCAACACCAGCACCGCTAGCAGGAATCGACAGGATATCGCGTGCCATATTTGCCAGGATAGGAAAATCACTCTCATGCTCTTTCCAATATACTCGAGGTTTTTGCCTCTCGATACCGCGGGCAAGATATCTGGCAATCTCATCATCCTGGGGCAGTATTGTTTCTTCAGGTATTTGATTCTGAGAGGCACAGATAGCATCCAAATCGTAGTCACTATCATCAGCAGACTCTCCGGGTGGATCCTCCAAAGCAGTACTCTCAAGACCCTCATAGAGTCTAGCCTTATACCGGTCGAACTCTTGTTTTAAAACTTCATGGTAGTGTTTAACATAGTCAATATCCCCTTGCCAATCAGAGGAAGAGAAGTACCGGAGTTTTTTGGATGGGCAAAGAATTGTAGCAAATGCGTAGATATCCCCGTATGGCTCGTAATCGGTAGCAGTGTAGTACTTTGACAGTTTGGTTTTGGCGGTCTGTAGAGCCTGGAGCATATGCCTTTTCTAGATAACACCTTTATTTTTCAGCTTTGACTCTGCTGTATCGAGATGGGAGAAGAGTTTGTTGTAAATACTAAAGATATTGTGTACAGTGATATCTTTAGTCTGTGACAGTACAGTTGTAAAGTCGAAAAAGGGTTTTGTGAGGAGAAGAAGATAGTCCACCTGTCGCCATTCTTCCTGATCAAGCTTGAAATGAAGATACTGATGGTCTATACAGTACTGATCGTAGAATCGTTGTAGTCGCTTAGCACGGTTAAGCATCAGGAAGGTTGAATTCCACCGGGTTCGAACATCTTGGATAGGAATCAAAGGAGTGTCTGTAGTCTGTAAGGCCATAAATGCCTCCCGACGCCGAGGTCTTGCATTAATAAAAACCGCAAGACCTCGAATCTTTCACAGGTTAGAAAACGATCTGGTAGATAAAGATTCGGCCGAAAAAACAAGCATAGCTAATCTTTCCGCTGAAAAGACGTACCTTTCTTAGAGTCTCGGTGATCTGAACATGATTGCTGGATCGTTTGCTCTGAAAGGATTGTGTTCTTTCATCCGACCACTCCAAATCAATCTGTTTATTGGACGGGGCTGCCTTAAGCTTTCCAAGAAGCTCTGTTAAGCTAAGCTGGATCACATGTACAATACATGGGACCCGGAAGATTAAAGGATCAGACCGTCGGCTGCACTGTGCTTGGAGAGTATCTTGGACACCAGTCATCAATGTATTGTTATTTGTTGCATTGTCAGTTGTGACTGACAGTACCCGGTCGGAGATCCCATGATCGGCAAGTAGCTAAGTGACAGGTTAACTGAGATTCTCTCCGGTGTGGGATCCATGAAGATGCTCGAATCCAAGCAGAACCTCACAGTAGTTCCATTTTTGATCAAGAAAATATCCGGTAACAGCCATAAATGCCTACTGGAATGGTGATGTCCAGCAATCGAGTGCAATTGACAAACGGCTTCCATTAGGTAGCTTTGCAAGGGTCTGTTTCTGATTCTCGGAGACAACCAAGTCTAGGCAACGTCGAATTGTCCGTGCAGATGGAACAGTAATCTTGGTTGAAGCTTGTTGAATAATGTCGACTAAATTGCGGAACTGGGGATGTTCAATTAAACGAAAGGGTAGATGGGCAGTAGTGATAAAGCTAAGTATAGCCTTCGAGAGTTGATCTTGGGAAAAGGATTGTTTTGCTGGGCCACTAGGCTATACAATAGTAGTATTAGTATTAATATAGATACAAAATAGGAGTAACATACCATTTCCTTTACAAGTTGATCAATACCTTTCTTTGGGGTCGGTTTTCGGGGACAAGTACTTGTCTTTAGATGCGCATTCATAGGTGATGACCCTGCTCGACGGAAGCGTGGATGACCGATGGTACAGAGACATGATTTACACATTACCCTAGGCTTCCCACTTTTCTCGTGTGCAACTTGTTGGAAGCTATCCCAGACATCGGAAGTTGCTTTTCCTTCCCAGTGAATTTCTTTTCTTGTCTGAGGTTGCGATCCGAACTCAGTAGTAAGCCACCAGTCTGAAAACTTCTTTCGAGTTTCTTCCATATTGCCGTAGCTAGAGTCAGAAGGATATGGGATCCAGTGCTTTTGTAGATAAGGACCAAGACGGATAAGAGATGTTGGTGCAACTGGAGTTTGGGTTTGCGAAAAAGATGTCAATGGGGTTTGGCTGCCGATAAAGTCGGAAATATTATCTGGATAGGAAGGGTCGGAGGTGAAATTCAGACCTATATCTGAATCAATACAGGAGTCCTGGGATTGAGATATCTGTGAGTAAGCCATATTTCAATTGATTGTGAATTACCTTGCAGTAGATCATAGCATAGAAGTAAAAGAGAAGACTACTTACAGAATAGAACAGAACAGATTTTCAGGGGTCTGGCAAACAGAACACGACATCGCAATATGGATGGATATTTGTGATAGATCGTTTGATCTAGACGTGATGATTGGCTATTCCCGCATACTAGTGCGGACATTTTGCGGATATCCATGGACATCCATGGATTATCCACCAAATATCTGCCGACCGCCGTAGCTTCCAGAATCACAGAACAATGGCAGAGTCCGTAAATCTACAATTTGCGACCGTTGTTTCTCAATAGATTTCTATATAACTACTATTTCAAATTTAACAGATATATAACTGAGACCCTATCATTTCATTCTACTAAGAATTTGAAAAGAAAAAACACAGAATTGGGTATTTGTTCAAATAATCTAGTGATCACAAAGATATGGTGCAGGAGTATACAAGGGAGACCCACAGAAATATATATCATTCCCTATAACCTGCCATGAAATCCCCAAATCCTATCTACCCCTACCAAAAAACAAAGATTTTCAATATTTAGAAAGGAATATAGCAATTCAACCAAATTCATAAATAGATACAGTATTATTTCTCAATATTTCATCGTATAATAGAATAATTCAGTGGAATTGTATGGTTAGGACGAAACATGTGTTTCTTTCAATGTAAGAGACGGGTTTGTCAGCTGTATAAACTCGGGTAGGGAATCCAAAACTAGATAATTAAACGAGTTTTATGCTAGTGTGGATATCCGTGGATATCCATGGACATCGACCTATATCCGCATATTGGATTTGGATATCTACAGTTATCCAATATCCAAGGCTATTTGGATATGGATATAATTTAATATCCATTGGATTGGATATGCCGCAGTCTAGGCTGGTCACTACTTTTAGCTGTCGGCGGGCCCGACAGCACTCCCGCATAGCAGCATATATGTAGAGCGAGCTACATCGGGCGAATGAATTCATCATCATCATCATCATCATCATCATCATCTACCCATGCGAGTAGGTGGAACAATTATTCAAAGCGATGAAATTCATTCAGAACTACAATAGGTCAGTCAATGGAATAATTTGTGGCTTTTGTCTGTCACTAACCCCATTACTGCACGGTTGTCCTCCAGCCACAAACCGGTATGAGTGGCTGGAAAAGTGAATAGGAAGCTCTCCGCTAATTGCCGGGTTATTGGATATCGACCTAGCGCATATGTCTTGTCAAAAGACTACAATGTTATGTATGTGACAATGAGCCTGTCCTGACGAGCGTGGGGCGATATGTTCTACGCTCCTTGCTTTGATCCATGACTGCTCTCCTTGGATATTAAGACTTCGATGGGGTTCAAACCCCGCAAGATCCAAGAATTGTTTAAAACAAACTTTCGGGTTCCGCCCCTCTTTTATTTCGTGCGGCGAGCCAATCAACAGTGACGAGTATGCCTCGATGGAGTGGGCGACATAGCCGGATTCACAAGGAACCTGCACTTTGGTGATGATAGGCAGGAAGCAAGGCTGGGCGGGTATTTGGATGTGGCAAAAGCTTGTCAATTTCCTATTTATTTAGTTGCGAAGTCCACGAATTTCTGCCTTTACCATACCAAATTATCTTTGCTTATTCAGATCAAAATGGATACCGTCAAGGTTAAAAAGCGTTATGTCATAGCACTGTCGGCTCTCACTAAGATCGAACCCTAGAATGCCGCAAACTACGTCTCCGAGTCCGTTCAGGGCGCCACCAACACCAGTGCTAAGGAGGCCAATAAGAACGTTGCCAAGGACTCTGACACCAGCATCGGTACTCGCGCAAGCGCAGCCAAGGACGCTGCTGTCAACAAAAAGGATGAGACGGTGCACAACACCAAGGCTGATACAAACTAGGGTGAGTACTTATGCGCCTGAATTTAGCATGGTCGCATACTGATTGGTCCTTTAGAGGCTAAGGCTGTTTGTCCAGTTTGGGATAGATCTGCAACCATGCTGACGCTATTGGGGTCAATCTCGTGGATGCGTCTTATGAATATGATTAAACAATTAATCAATGAATACCACATATAGTTTGTACCTCATGAATTTCTTTCTATACGAGTGTTCGCTGCCTCTTTGGAGGAACGAGATTATTGTGAATGACATTACTGTTGTATCTCTTTAGTATTAAAACAGCTCCAAATGACACTTGAAAGGCTAATTGGAATCACGTTCGGATGCGTCATCAGATAAAGCCTCACTGTCGAGTGAGTGAGGTGATCTTGAGTAGAGGGCCCCCAGTAATCTAAAACTACATCCGTCTCATTAGATGTAGCCCTTTTCATTCGTCTTTTCGTGTTCGCGCTCAATGGCAAACTTGACAGCATCATAGACGTTGTCACAAATCTTCTTCGGCTTGTAGCGCGGGGTGTCCCCATCCTGGTAGACACCAGTCTTGACCAGGATAGAGTACCATTCCTGATCGACAGCCTCATTGAACTCATTTGTACCACGGATGTCTGACTCAGGTGTGTCACCGAAGAAATAGACGGTGGATGGGGGCTCATCGATGCCATGCCAGTCACTTCGCCATTGCTGTAAGAGCCGAGTTGCGAATTGAAATGTGCCTTTTTGCGGCTTGCCAAACGCAATAGTGTGAAGTTTATTTCCGGTAATGGCCTGGTAGAGGGCCTCTAGCGAAGCGCGGAGCGCACCCATGCCAATGCGCGAGTAGTCGTGTGAGGTAGACCAGACAACGTCATTGTGCGAAAAGAACAGGGTGGGGCCTTCGTCGAAGGTCTCCGATCGTGTGCCCAACTGGCCGTTCTTGGTCAACAAAACATCCAAGATGATCTGCTGATCGCCAGCCCAGTCGCGACTATCTGCAAAGACGAAGATAGCGTCGACCTTGGTCTTTTTCAGGTCTAGTGTCCGCGAGTTGTTGAATTCCTCTTTCGTCAGCTTTCGGAAGGGAGTGATGTCTTGACGAGTCTTGATCATGTCGCCCGGGGTGATGACGTCTTTGAAACCGTAGCCTTCAGCGACGATGCGACATTTTTCGCCTTCTCCGCCCACGACGAGGACGGTGTTATATCGCTGTGCCATCTCACGCATAGGGGTGTGGCCGCAGATGAACTGACCCCGGTCGATCTTCTGACCAAGCTGATGACTCAGGTCCGAACACCGTTCTTCTTCGGTTTTACCACCACCATTTGTAAGGAAGATGTAGGGGCTTCAAAAAAGGATATATAATCAGAAAAGGTAACGGATGAGGCTTCTAAAGGGCAGTATAAGTCTCACACTCGAACTCCATAGGGATTCTCGCCATTAATGTATTTCATGGCCTTGACAGCCTCGGGGATGGCCTCTCCACCTCGCACCAGGACTCCATCAATATCAAACGCTAGTGCATAGTCGGTACTAGTAGTCACTATTGAAGGCGTCGCCAAAGAGGCGGCTGGTTGAACAGATTGTCCCGCACCCAGAGTGGCGCCTTGATCGAGATTGAGCTTCATGCTCTTTGAAGAGATGAAGTTGCTATTTCTGGAAGGGGGACAATGGAAGGGCCTGTAAATATATCGGATTGTTGTCTAGTTTCCACTTTCTTCTCTTCGTCTCATGCTGTAGTCAACTACAGATGCTTTTATTCATGTCTAGTCCGGTTTCGCGTATCTGATTAGGTTACGTCATAGTGGATCGTTTGGAATGACGTAATGCAAGCACACAACTCAACGGACTCGCATTTATCGTCCCTATCTTCGAAAATGTTTGCCGACGGGCGGGCGTATCCTGAAACTTAAAATAGAGTGCCGAGACATGCCAATTTAATTCTAGGTTTATGATCTCTGTAGACGATGATGTAAACGCTGCTCCTTAAGTTAGTTAAGTAGTATTCAACAATCCACTTACAAATACTCAACTGGCTAACTGGCTATGCCCGTACTAGTCCGTACCGTAACGAACACGTTCCGACACAATTAATTCCATGGATAGAGCGACATTTCTTTGAAGGTTTTGGCTGGCCAACTAAAAATCTATAGACCGGCATATTCGGATAGCGAGCCATGCTTCTGTGAATACTGTCGTTGAAGGAACGTTGATTGATGAACAAGAAATTCGTGCATCAGCAAAAATTACTCAGTCAACCAAAGCACCTAGAGTCTCAAGGTCTTCTCCAATATGTAGGGCTTTGTATAACTGAAACAATGGTATTCAGACAAGGTAAAGCACACATACCTTTGAATAGGTGAGATAAAGGCCGTCGAATAAGCTAATTGCAAACAACTCTTAGTGCGTGGGCCGTTGGTCCGTTAAGGGTTGTAGCTTAGAAACTGTTGTTTCTGCCGCTCTTAATGAAGCACCCGGATGCAAGGCTAGATTTTTGTAATACAGCTAGACAAAAATTGAACTCGGGTAAAAAAAAGGCCATGGAATAAAATTTGTCAGTATCAGGGAACCAAAAATAGGAGCGAAACAAGGTTGGTTGTATTGGGACCATATAGGATCGAGGTGAAAATGCTGAGGCCACGTAATCAAAATAAGAGATCTCAGGTGAATCCTCAAAAGAGTAATTCCGCAGGGCCGTATCCTGCTAGGTGAAATACACTATAGAAGACCGAGTTTGTTCCATCTGAGTCTTACATTAATTATTGGCCTCGTGTATGGCACTGCCAATCGAGTTTTCTCCTGGCGGGCAGCAGGTCCGGGCAAAGAAGTAGTGGCAAAACTCGATGAGCAAATCTGACGAATGAGCTATCGACAAGGTGCATAGGCAAGTTAAGCTTTCTCAAGATCCAGACCGTTTCGTTCTCCTTCGGACGGGTCTCGCAGACTTTAGCAGGATTCTAGAACAGGTTTCAGATAAAGCTCAAATTATTTCGTACAACGATCACGTCTTCGTGATAGTTGACTCGGTAACCATGCGTAATAGACACTCACGAGTCTTCTGTACCTGTGTTTACACGGCAGATTCCGCTACTTTTAGAGTGTCGCGATGACCT